AGTGTATTTGGGAAATCCCTCAAGGTTTCGAGGATAATCGTAACAATATTTATGATTTCTCGTCGACTATTAGTATCATGCCATCAGGCATAGAATCCTCATCAGGTTGGGGTGATAGGTTTACATAATTAAATTATAATTAATTATAGGAATTAGAAGGTGTATAATTTCATAGTTTACATTTTGTTTTTTCCTTTTTAACTTTTCCAAAAATTTACTTAGTCATAAGCTACATATTGTGATCATATTAGAATTTTCTTCTTTTCTTTTTTTTTTTTTAAAGGCATTTTTCCAATTTTGCTTCAGTAATGAATTTTGATAAGTCTTTAAAATATACTATATTATTAGTTTTAAACAGGTCATTTAGGTTACTGAATTTCTTAAAAATTTCAAACTTGTTCCTGAAAGCATTTAATGCGGTACATTCAAATATAAGATGATGAGGGGTTTCATAGGCTCCGCACCTGCCACAGTTACTTGAAATATTCTGCTTAAATTTGTGTAAATATGATTTATTGTACGTATGCCCAACAATCAGTCTATTGAGTAGTTTTGTATTGTATGCGTCTAAGTCATTTTTTTTATTTTTGAACCACGGCTTTCTTTCTTTTATTGCTATTCCATCCACAACATCCGAATTCCAGTTCGGACAACCTCTCTTTATCTTTTCTTTCGCCTTTTCCCATAATTCATTGCCAATTTTCAGCAAAGCTTCAGTTGGCGTGAACTCAGTTTCCAATATTTTACCAACATTAGTCGCAGCCTTTGCCGCAATATCCGCCTTTTCATTAAAATATATTCCTACATGGCTAGGCACCCACACTACCATCACACTCACTATTTTTGAATTCAACAATTTATTGTGAAATTCCGCAACCAAAAAAATTGTCTGTCTTCTCACAGTCTAATAGTTTAATTGCTGCTAAACTGTCCGTAAAGAGGACAACTTTTTCCCTGCCACTCTTCTTTGCAATTCCCACCGCTTCATTTAAGGCTACCAACTCACCAAAGGTCGATGAAACTGTTCCATTTATTTTATAAAGATACGAAACATTTTTTTCTAAGTCATACACTGCACAACCTACCCTATCCTCTATAATCGATGCATCTGTGGCCAACATGTAAAAACCTCGACTTTTTAGATTATCCCTCTTTTCGCTATACACCGCTTTTAATTGCTGCTGAGAAAAATTAGTTTTCGAGCTATATAACTCCGATTGTATAAACTGTAGATCCTTATGTTTTCGAAAACTTACTCTTGTGCAGATTCTATCCAAAATGTGCTTGAACTCTACATATACACAACCATAACTTGAATTAATGATCTGACTATTTTGTAAACTAGTTCTTAAACCCGGATTAAGAAACCACTGTTTAATTAGTTCCTTAGCAGTTAACCACAGCGCTCTGCTAAGAGGCGGAAGTTCGCAAGCAAGTGCATATCTCGCATATGTTGGCGTATTAGGTGGAACCCCCAAACATCGCCTTAACGTATCATTTACAATCGTTTGTATCTGCCTTTCATAACCTTTAGGAGCATTTGCAAATGTAGTATACGCAAATTCAACTTTTGACCTTACAAATGTTTTGAAAATGTTTATTGCAATTTTAGGCGTCAGCCCCGCCTTAATAGTGGAGAGTTGGGTAATTAAGTTCTTGGCTTTAATTGTATTTTTTTTTACGTTAACTATATGTTCTTTAATAGTACCATTTGCGCTGATCACTCTGCCCAACCATTTCATACAGTACACTTGTTCAATACTACATTCAAGAACGCTCATATCAAACTTTTTGTTTTTGTTTGAACTCATATACATAAACTTTGTTTTGTCCAGGTTTAATTGTAAATTTATATGACTGCACCTTGCTTGCATTTCCAAAATTTTCTGTTTTAAGTTAACCAACGCACTATGCTCATTTCTGTCATGACTTATTATCGCGATGTCATCCGCAAACTGAAAAATGTACGTATTACTATCCCTGATATTATGCAGTTTGGCCGTGTATATGTTAAACAATATGGGCGATAAACAACTCCCTTGCGGTAGCCCGTTTTTAATCACTATTGACTGATTCCCCAAGGTTAGTATCCTACGCGAAAAAAGATTATAAACCCAATCAGAAATTTTTGAGTTTATCCTATAATCTATTAACAAATTATGTAATATTTTTAAATCTACACAGTTGTAGGCATCAGATATGTCTAAAACACATATAAAAACTTTTTCATTTTTCAACTTTAATTCTGCCACTGTATGTAAAACCTCATTTGTGCACATCGTAGCCGATCTTAGTTTTCTATACGCAAAGCTTTTATTGGGAATTATTTCATTTTCTTCCACAAATTCTACCAACTCACTCTTGACCATTAAATTAAGACTTTTGACAATAACCGACAGTAATGAAATTGGCCTGAAATTTTTAATCTCTTCCAAGTTTTTATTAGCTTTTGGGATCGGTACAACTCTTATAAATCTCCATTCCTCCCTCACACAGTTCTTGTTAAAATGCTCCATTAAGGAGTCAAAAAACTGCTTTTTCGTTTCTATCGGTAATTGTTTGATCATATCAAAAGTCACCCTATCTTTCCCCCCTGCAGTAGATTTTTTTTTTCCTATAAGCCTTTCAAATTTTTCAAAGTTAAATTCTATGGCAGGATTTTGCATTTGAACACCCCTAAAGTTGACCATCTCATCCGTTTCCTGAACCTGTTCTTTTAACATCTTTAAATATTTCTCACTATCTTCCATTGACCATTCTTCAGTGCCCACATCCTTACTACTGTTTAGATTCTTTAAAAACTTCCACGCTTCTGTAGAATTCGGATTTTGATTTAGCATCTCAATTCTCTTTGAGAAACTTTCTTTTTTTGCCTCTTTAACCGCCAACTTCCAACTCTGTTTAGCCACAACTGCTGCCTCTAAATCTTCTATCCTACCAGTTTGATTTGCCTTTTTTCTTTTAGCTATTAATATTCTATAAAGTTTTTCTAATTCCTTGTTCCACCACATCTTGGGTGTGTATTTCACCGTATTTAAATCTATCGTAGCCCCTGCTTGAACCTCCTTCATATTTTCCTCAAATTTTTCCATATTTTCGAACCTTACCTTTCCCAAGTTCTTTTTCAACTTGTTTTTGCAAATAAACATATTTGGTAACTTACTGTTATTAATTTCCAACACAATCGGACGATGGTTGCTACCCCCCACATATGCTTGTAAACACTGAAAACCTATATGCTCATTTGAATTTGTAAAGGCCAAATCCAAGATGGAGTCAATATTATTTTGACTACACTGAAAAGTAGCTGTCCCATCATTTATGCACCTAAAGTTTGAATTTTCCGTTAAACTAGAGAGTACCTTTCCTTTTGGTGTATTTACATTGTCACCCCAACTATTCGCCCTAGCATTAAAATCTCCTAATAAAAGAACGTTGTTATATTTATGTAAAAAACAAAGCAGTCGTGTCATTTCTGTCTCAAAGACCCTTGTGTTGATACTCGGTGGAAAATATGCCGAGCAAACTATGAGATTATTCCTAAGACTAATTGTCCTAGCAACAATTATGTCGTGTGTAGTCCTGTATTTTATTTTGGAGTATTTAATACCTTTCTTAAACCCAATGGCCACACCTCCATAGCCATCACTTCGAATCTTTTTAATCAAATTAAAACCAGCTAACTTATGATTCACTTTGTCATGAGAAAAAAATTTCTTGTAAGCCTACAATCTCTATACCATACTTCTGGTTGAAAAAATCAACATAACTTTTGTTCGCCTTAAGGCTTTGAATATTCAACTGTAACACCCTTATTGTGTCTGTCATCTTGTATTCCTAACTTTCTAGTAATGCGTTCATTAATATTACTTCCAAACAGTCCATCCAGAAGTCTTACAATTGGATCTTCTTGATCTATACCAAACTTTGTTATCAGCATTTTCAAAAGCTTCTCAATTTCACTTACTTTAGTCCAATTTGGCTTTTCATAGCACGGTTCTACTACTTCCTTCTCTTTAAACACCCTATTTCTTTTTTCTTCAGATTTTGCCATGTAACTATATTTCTTTGTTATCAATCTCCTGTTTACCTCATGATCGTTATTTATACGCCTCGATTTTGTTTTATTTAATGCGGGAAAATCTTTCTCATAGTCACTTAGTATATTGAAACGATTATTGCTTAAATTATATGTCTCCATCGCTTCAAATTTAGAAATTTTTTTAATTGTCATTATTTCAACAACTTTTTTCTCTTTTTCCCATTTCGGACACGACTTGCTGTTCAACGCACAGTGATCTGCACCACCACATAAAATGCACTTATTTTCCTCTTTACATTCTCTATCACAACCCTCTTCTTTCCCACATAGTATGCATCTGTTCTTGGATTTGCAACCCAACCTAGTATGTCCCAAACGCCCACAGTTATAACACTGCCTTATTTTAGGTATATAGTGGTTAACCTTGAAATTCACAAAAAAAATATCAATTTTCTCCGGAAGCTCATTCCCTTCAAAACTTATTTTGACCGAATAAGTCGGGTTGAACTTCTCCTTATCAATCAAGTCCCTCCTCATAATCCTCGACACAGAAGTAATCTTACAGTCCGATGTAATGTTGTTAAGTATCTCCTCATCCTGGAATCCTAATGGTACATTTCTAACCACTCCAATTGTCTCAACAAATTTTCTTGGTATAAATGCCTTTATATTATTCTTTTTCAAGTTTTCATTCACCACACATAAATTTGCATTAAAATACGTATCAAAGACAATTTTATAGAGTGACCTTCCAATTCCTTTGATGTTCTTTATACCAATTACATCTAGATTCCTTATTTTTTCCCACAAAAATAAACCATTTTTCAATCTTTCATTGTTAATTAAAGCACATTCTGAGGTATCTATTAGTACACGAAATTCCCCACTGTGGTTTTCAGTGTAGCAAACACTATGAAAGTTCCTGTTTTGTTCTATTTCTTTTTTGCCACCTACCTCATCTTGTATTTGATTTAGTGTTTGATCTCGTTTTTGATTTTGAGTTTGGTCTGTAATTTGATTTTGCGTTTGTTGAGGCATTTGTAATTTCACAACAACCCCTTTACGAATTAAAGTTCCTTGAAACGGAACGGGAGTACAGTTTTCTGTATCAGTTTTTAGTTTTTTGTTATTGCCTATCATCGTCTTTTTCAAATCGTCATTGTCCAAGTCCGTAACCATTTTTACATTTTTCGTCACTCTTTTCCTATTTCTGTCTCTT